GGTTAGCATCATGCAATCCAGAAATGCTCGAAATTGACATGATCGATACTACTTTATTTCATTTTCTTTTTAGATAAAAATAGACGAAGTAATCATGATAAACATAGACGACGTAATACTATCATTTCAGTGAAAGATAAATCTTAAATGGGAAGCGCTTTTTGTATAAGTATAATCTAGGTAAATTCAGTCCTAACTTAAATTACTTTTATCTAAAGACTTGTATAGGACAGGTATAAACATTTTCCAGAAAAACCAAGATTTTTTCAATCAAATCTGAAACAAATGTTTGTTTTACTGTTTAACACCACAATTTTGATTGTATACCTATCCTAAATGATTTGGGCTATAAAATGCTTAATATCTTATGTTTTCTCATTTTAGATTTTTGCATAGAAAAATAGCGAAATGGTCCTAAGTGTAAGAATTAGATGACAAATTCAGAACGTTAAATATACAGATGTTACAAAGAATCATCAAAATCGTTCTGCATGCGCTGTCTTGTAAAAATATAGTAGACAATTAATCTGTGGAATATTTGTTTTCGGTAGATATCATTTTTAATGGTTTGTTTTGAGGAAAAGCAATTTGTTTTACTATCAAGAAGAAAGGATTTATAGAAATTCCACTGTCGCAGACATAACATCGGTATTCTCAGATCCAACAGACTCACATAAAAAAAAATGCATTAATTTATTAACTCAGCAAAACAGAATAATATAAAGAGAAAATTCCAAATATTTAATATCGTTAAAAACGCATCTCAAAACTTATTTTCAAAACTTTTTATTTACGCCGTGCAATGTTCACTGTATTAAAGGAAAATTGTCGAATATTAAAAAGACAGCTTAACCTCGAAGAAGCCTTAGAAATAAGGGTTTGACCTTCCAAAATGATTAACTTTATTAAGATACCTAAATTTATGGTGAAAGATTATTGATATGCTGCAGTAACATTGACTTTCAGTATTTTATTGTTACTGTTCATGTTGAAAACATAATCCATTCATCGATAATTGACGCATAACCGTTTATATCTCACAAAGGGAACAGTTTTTATCTTTTCCCTGAAAAAAACAATTTTAAACAAGTTCTCTCTAACCTGACAACTAGAATCAAATTATAATTTAAGTCGTCTTCTAAATTTAGATGTTTAATTATAATTTTTTACATACAATGACACACTAGTTGATTTTTTTTGGTTTAACTTATGGGACGAAGAATTCTCATTTTGCAAAAAATATCGTACTTTTTATCCTTTACTTTTTTAAATGTGTAAACGGAAAAATATACAAAATTATCTTAAAATTCGAATACCGTCAGCTAAAGTTTGAGGAATGTGATTTGCTTCCGTATTCGCCATAAGCAAATGGTTTTTGAAATAACAATAGGTGTTAGAAATTATTAGAAATGTGTTAAAATTAGAGCTAGCCATTTGGTTAAGTTTTTTTAAATGTTGTGTTTCTTCCGTATACTCTGTGTAAAAAGTAAAATAACAAACATACCGAACTCCAAGGAAAATTCAAAAAGGAAAGTCCCTTGTCAAATGGCAAAATCAAAAGCTCAAACACTTCAAACGAATGGAAAACAACTGTCATATTCCTGACTTGGTACAGGCATTTCCTTATGTAGAAAATGGTGGATTAAACCTGGTTGTGTAGCTAGCTAAACCTCTCACTTATATTGCTCTTTCTATCTATAAATGTCCATCAATAAAACAATGGTTTTAAACTTACTTTCAGCAATATCGAAATATAGTGATGTGGTATAATTGCCAAATGAAACAATTATCAATCAAAGTCCAAATGAAATGGATGTAGGCAACAATAGGTTAAAGGGCTTGATTCATGACAAAACAACAAACGAAAATGATTTATGACAGATACCAACTTACGATAACCACAAATATACAGGCTGCTGATTTTGGGTCATACACATAAAGTATGTGGCGGGGTAAGATATGACTGTGTGCCCTCAACTCTCCCTAACTTGGAACAGTGGCGGCCACACTTTCAGTTAGAGATTGTTTGACTCATCAGATTGGCACGAAGCACAAAAACAAGTAACAAAAAACAAAAGACACAAAGTGCTAATTTGAGATTACTCGCAGTTACTGAAAGCTAGTTCGTAGCCAATTACAACTATCAAATAAATAATGTTCTCTTAGACGTTTTCTATCTACTTATAGGCTATTTAGTCTTAGATGTATGATTTTTTCATAAGTTGTTATTGGCTTTGAACTAGCTGTCAGTAACTGCGAGTACTCTCAGATCTGTGCTAAGTGTCTTTTTGTTGTTGGGATGTACAAGTACACGTCCACATCCACTTTGTGTTTTTGTTAGATGTATTTCTATTTGTATCCATCTGATGAGTTAAGCCTTTTTCAGCTGATTTTTATAATTTGATCTTATGTTGTACTGTTACACCACTGTCACAGGTTAGGGGAGGGTTGGCGCCTTCAAACTAGTTTAGCCCCGCCACATTCTGTATGTGCCTGTCCAAAGTCAGGAACCTGTAATTCAGTGGTTGTCGTTTGTTGCTTTGTTACATATTTGTTTTTTGTTCATTATTTTGTACATTTATTAGGCCGTTAATATTTCTCGTTTGAATTGTTATACATTTGTCATTTCGGGGCCTTTTATAGCTGACTATGCGGTATAGGCTTTGTTCATTGTTGAAGGTCGTACGGTGACCTATAGTTGTTAATTTCTGTGTCATTTTGATATATTGTGGAGAGTTGTCTCATTGGCAATCATACCACATCTTCTTTTTTTATATACTTAAGATATCGTTTTCTGTAAAGGCATAACCCATGACAGGCAGAAAAGCATAGTAAAATATAGCATATAAAATATGTTAGTTCATAGTGTACAGATAGATACAAAGACAAAATTATATAGACGTAGTGACAAGTTCATATACTCATACATGTATCCTCGTTATAAATACTGACAAATTTTACATTTTAGTCTGTTTATGTACTCCCTTGAATTGATATTCATCAATACCTTTTTAATTGAAGAAACTGGTTACCCTTTACATGATTTTAAAAAAGAATTAGATACCAAAGGGACATTATAAATGCATCAGTAATACCATGACCAAAATGAAAGGAAAAACAAACAAAATACAATAACATACTACACCGGATGCTAACGTTTAAGCAAGATATCCAAAACCAAACCGGGACTGTACACAGATGATTTGGAAAAGTAAACAGTTCTACAACCATGTATTAGGCTGCACATTTAATCTTTCATAATTATGTTTTAAATGAAATATAACAATGTGCTGAAGGATAACATTCGCCTACAGTTGTTCAAACAGTTCATTCGAATAGTGAATAAAATCGAATTTTGACATGTCTTAATAATCTTAAACAAGAAAAGTGTAGCATTATATCAGGTTTGTTGATACATTGCAATGGACGATCTTGAACTTTCAAATATCTAATGAAAAGTAAAAATGCTGTCCCGTGTTTACATTGGTCTAATTCTTACAAACACATATCTATAAATAACATTCACAGACTCTGGACGATTTAGAGCTTGCAATATTGTGCGGAAACCTTTCGACTGTTAAACACTGTATGCTGCCTTCTAAATTGTTTTTTTTTTGTCATTGGGTTGCTGTCTCATTGGCCAAATTACTTTTTTGCTATTTATTTAGTCAAGTGCTTGTAAGGATTTTGTGTCACCTTATATGTTTTTTCAGTTGCTGGATAATGTGCTTATTGTTCAATGCTTCCTGTATATAACAGTAGACATATATCAATTTCAAGAGGCTGACCTAATGGAAATGTCAGTTATAAAAAGTCCCGATATAATTAAATGTGAACTACTTCAAGCAATAAAACCAATGTCCTAATTTATAATAAAACTATAAACGAAAAACGAATACGACAAACATGTTGACGGTGTCTAAGTTGAAAATCATATTAATTTCGACCAACCAAAATGACCACTTTTTTAACAATAAAACACAGGGGAGAAGTAAATTGATAGAATGGGGTACATTTTGTAACACTAATTTGGAAAGAGCTTGCCAATAGGAATAAAGGAGGTTGGATGGTCGTGTCATAGAAACATCAACATCTACTCATCAATGATCAACAAATATCTAAAACATATCAAAATATAACCATACTTGACCATGTTGACAAAAAAGACCATGGAAATTGTAGTGTATTTTTGTATTTAGAGATGAATTATAGATAAAACACCAATCGTCCGTTGCTATGTTTTTCATATCATTTTCTTTAACTTGATAACGATTGCTTTATTCATTTTTTGATTAATACGTATAAAAGAGGGACGAAAGATACCAGAGGGACAGTCAAACTCATAGATCGAAAACAAACTGACAACGCCATGGCCAAAAATAAAAAGACAAACAGACAAAAAAATAGTACAGATGACACAACATAGAAAACCAAAGACTAAGCAACACGAACCCCACCAAAAACTGGGGGTGATCTCAGGTGCTCCGGACGGGTAAGCAGATCCTGCTCCACATGTGGCACCCGTCGTGTTGCTTATGTTATTACAAATCCGGTAAATAGTCTAATTCGGTAAGTCACATTATAAACGTGTCTTTTTCCATTTTCGGTTATCCTATTTGTATCTAAAAATCTTTTTTCTATTTTTTATTTATGTGTTAATGCATCGATTAGGGATCATTTGTGTTTGATTTGTTCAATGCTTTTACAACCCTATACAACTATAAATTCAATTGCGGGAAATAAGCAATTTTATCCTGTTTTATATTTCCGTTGTATTTTAAAAGTTAGTTTGTCTTCGCATTTTAATAATGTGTTCAACTCGTGCAGTCATGAATGTTGAATTTACTCATTTGGGAATACAACAGTAATTTAAAGACCACATGATGATTGTCTGCCAATCAAAATTAGTGAATCCTAATGTCACCTCTTAGAAATGCAATTACAACATAATAAGGAAAACTTTCATATTGAAAACAATAGTTCGGTAAATAAATATAAACGATGAAACGGAAGTACGTCAAGGAGCTTTTCTATTTAGATTAGACATACGATGATACAAACATTTACTCTACCTAGTATGACGAATAGTGTGAGGTTTGAGAGAGTACGGCTAATTTCCATGTAAGTTATTATGTTGTGTTCGCTTAATTTTAATGGTGAACTATAAATTATCATAACTTAATATATCAGAAACGTTATAAATGTTTTTGTTTCAGATTGTCCCATATATAATTGTTTATATTGCCTAATGTTTTCTTTCTTGTGCAGCTATCAAAATGTAAAGAAGTAACGTTTAGCTATAATCAAAACATTTCTGTTCTACTTCGCTATGCTCATACGAAAAAAAAATGTCTTAATAATGCGTAAACAAACAAAAAAATACACGTGTCGATTTTGATCAGTGAATTTTTTTCAACAAAAGAATGGCACGAAATTGAAAGATTTGTACGTGAGAAAACAGAATTACTCAAGGCGTATGAAAATATATACGCCGAAATTAAGACATAATTCTACCTATTATCTGGCTATATCATTCGTCTTTATAGACGTTACTGGAATGTTATTGAAGAATATCTTAAAAATAGCTTTTTTGGATTACGATAAATAATTTTTGGATTTCCAATTTTTCTGTTTTTGGGGCAAATAGTTGTCATTATTGCAAAACGTATCCAGAGGCGGATTTAGGATTTTCTTTGGGGGGGATGCCCGGGCCCCCTTATGGGTAATCCAGATTTTTTATCTGTTCCTCTACAAACGTTTTCACAATCCTATATTCGCATCGGGTATCTGATACGAATTGACATGAGATAGAAAAATATACGAGGAAGAGAAAATTTTGTATACATATAGAACGAAATAAGCGTGTAGATTCTGATCAGTGAATTTTTCTCGACAAAAGAATGGCGCGAAATTTAAAGATTTGTATGTGATAAAACAGAATTACTCAACGCGTATGCAAATATATACGCCGAAATTAAGACATAATTCTACCTATTATCTGGCTATATCATTCGTCTATATAGACGTTACTGGAAAGTTATTGAAGATATGTTTTTCCGTTTGTACAATTGAAAAATAAAACGATGAAAAAATACTGATAAAACATGTAAACCATTTGTTTCAAGTGCATACGGAAGAAAATAAATATTACTCTGAAACCTATTAAATTTTCCTACATATAAAGAAATGGGTTTAAATTAAAGTTACTGTTAGCGTAAATTTTCTAGGAATTTTATTAGTTCTCGATTCGCGGTATACCGGTGTTTTACACTTTTTATCAGTTACTGTGCATCTCTTTTTAAAATGAACAAACGTTGAGAGAAATCATTAGAAATTCTTTAAAATAGAGTTAAAGTTAAAGTCAGGTGTCTGGATTGTTGAATTTTTTCGGTTGCTCTGTAGTTAAGTGTTTTACTTATTCTACCTATCAATTTCAGTCTTGAAAATAAAGTTTGAAACTTCCTTTCAACAATATAAATAATGAAGAGATGTGATAAATTAGCAATAAGACAGCTATCCACCAGAGTCCAACTGAAATATATATTAACGACAAACACAGAAGCCTTAATTAATGACAAAATGAAAAACAAATAGAACAGACAGTAAACAATGATGGCCACTTATTATTGGGCTCCTGATTTGTGACAGGCGCATAATAAATGTGATGAGATGTTTGTGAGCGCTTAACCCATTCCTAACCTTGAACAGTGTTGTAACAGTACAACATAAAAACAAACTAAAACAAAAAAGTTTGAAATAGCTTGTTTCACAAAGCGCTTATTTGAGAGTACTCACAGTTACTGAAAGCCAGATCAAAGCCAATTACAACTATGAAATAAATCACAAACACAAATCAGGCTGTTAGTTTTCTAGTTTGAATTGTTTTATATTTATCATTTCGGGGCCTTTTATAGCTGACTATGCGGTATTGGTTTTGGTCATTGTTGAAGGCCGTACAGCGACCTATAGTTCTTAACTTCTATGTCATTTCGTCTCTGGTGGAGGGTTGTCTCATTGGCATTCATACCACATCTTCCTATTATTATATATACCTAAGATCTTATTTTTAAGCTGCACATGATGACATACAAACGAAGCGAAGTAAAATATATCAGATAAAAATATATTCCTTCAATTTCATCTTTAAATAATCCCATAGAAGTTGAGCTTACCTTGTAGTTTGTCATTAATGGTAAATAAAGGCAACAGTAGTATATCGCTGTTCAATAGTCATAAGTCGAAAAAGCGAAAACAAATCCGGGTCGCAAACCAAAACTGAGGGAAACACATCAAGTATGAGAGGAAAACAACGGTACAACAGAAACCCTGAACTGCTTCAAAAACAAACGCCAACTTACATAGAAACGGACTATGTGATAACAACTGCCATATTCCTGACTTGGTAAAATGTCAAATCAGTTTATGGTACTTTTACATTAATACGTATGTATGTGCTCTAACGTAATGTATTTCAATACTATTTAATGTGTAAAGCATGAATAACATCCCATTCTGTATACATTTTCATGTGGTACATTAAAATGTGAACTAATAGTTACATTGTGTATTTAGCGATATGAGAGTAGTGATTTTTAAAATAATTTCCTTGACTGATCATATGGACAGATAGATGCGACAAAAAGTTCGTACTTACATATCCATGTTATATGTATTTACATATTTTAAGTCTGAGGTTTTTTTAATGTACTTCCATGAATTCGTTGTCATCTCTTTCTTTAACTTTAAATAACTGGTTATCTTTTTACTGATTTAAAAATGGAAGGATGTACCGACGGGAAAATATAACCCTATAAGTAGACAAAAAGGCAGACACCACCATGACCAAAAGAAAAAAATCGAATAGATAAAAGATCAATATACACACTACACCGTAAAACTAAAGTTAAAACAACACATTCCGTAACAACAAAAATTGACTGTACATAGATGCTCTCAGAGTAAACAGTCCAGTCATTAATTAGGCTACATGTGCTGAAAAAGAAAGTTTGCCTATCATCATTCAAATAGTTCATTCGAATAAGCTTAACAATTTTAACCCCAAAAACAGTGAAGCATAAAATGTGATACACTGCAATGGACGATTTTGACTTTACAATTCTTGAAACCATTTTATTTTCGTCTATGATTAATAAGCATGTAAAATAAAACTCCACATCAAAAATAAGTTTTGAAAACAGATGTTGACCTTTATTGCTCAACTTTTTCCCGTATTTTTATTACTCCTTGGACATGTTGGAAAAACATCGTAAAAACTACTTATTTTCTTTCAGGAATTTAGTTCAGAAGCAGCATGATTTTCATTATGAATATTAGTGCATTAAGTTGATACAAACATTGTGTTTAACAACTTTTAAACGATATGGCAGCAGGTAAGCCAAAAGTATCAAATGTACTTATAGTTTATGCAAAATTTTAATTATGCTTTGTCCAATTCACATCCGTCAGTAGATTGTCTTATAGAATCGGCAAGGCGAATAATGTTCTAGACGCTTACCCTATCAATCCACCTGGTCTTGCTCCTTTTATATCAAAAAATTAAAAAAAAGGTGTTCCAAAAAAAATTGAGAATGCAAATGGGGAATGTGTCAAAGAGACAACAACCCGACCATAGAGCAGACAACAGCCGAAGGCCACCAATGGGTCTTCAATGCAGCGAGAAACTCCCGCAACCGGAGGCGTCCTTCAGCTGGCCCCTAAACAAATATGTATACTAGTTCAGTGATAATGGACGTCATACTAAACTCCAAATTATACACAAGAAACTAAAATTAAAAATGATACAAGACTAACAAAGGCCAGAGGCTCCTGACTTGGGACAGGCGCAAAAATGCGGCGGGGTTAAACATGTTTTTTGAGATCTCAACCCTCCCCCTATACCTCTAGCCAATGTAGAAAAAACAAACGCACAACAGTACGCAAGTTCCAAAAGTTTGTCTTGTGTGAATTTGCCGTTTCAGAATGCGTTCTGGGTAAAATTTTCAAACCTGTATGTTTGTTAAAAACTTCTAAACAATTCACAGGTAGGTTAATGCTGTCCTACGCTAATTCGGCTATTTGTTCATAAAAAAATCATAAGAATTGAAACTATATTGAATTTTCCTATAATGAAAAACCTTATACCAAGGAATAATTTTAACCATCCTCAAAATGATCAAAAATTTTAGTTTTTGGTGTTTTCGAACCACCCACCTGGTTATCATGGTTAAAGGCGACATTCAAAGATGCGTTCAAACCTTCAACTTCAAACGCCCAGCATACCACATAGAACTATACCAACGAATAAAAATAAAGTTGTTTCTGATTGATGAAGATATCATATTTCCTGTAATAGCTGTTTTTTTTTTTTTTTTTTTTTTTGTAAATACGCCCTTTTCTATTAGAAACAAAAAATTGACATACAATCAAACTTTGCCATTACCAAAAACCAAATTCATTGTCAATTTCAAAAGTGTTGAAGTAAATTTCAAAAACAAGAAAAGCAATTTCAGTAATCATGAGCTTTCAAAGAAGAAATGTACGAAGTTTTTAACAGATTATTGAACATTAACGGGGTGTGCCCTTGCCATTTTTATAGATGACTGATAAACAAGTCCTTTCACGGAGATATTTAAACTCTCAAATGATCAAGATCGGACAAATTTCCTATTACGATGTCAGAGTGCAGGGAAGGAAGTAAACTACATTTTGATAATTTTTCACTTGAAATAAATCATTTGTATACTTGGATATCTCAATAAATCTGGTAATGAAGCACTGTGAAAACGAATGCTCTGTGGAAAAAAGGTGGTAACTCTCATATACTTGGTAGTGCGAGATTTCATAAGCACATGTTCATTTTTTGCTCAACATTTGTAACGACACTAAAATTTACTTACTAGCGTACTAAATTACAATTCTCATAGGGTTTTTATTGCTTTAAGATGACAAACAGGACTAAATTCTTTCTAAAACAAAATCTTTCTCTTGATTAGAAAAGAACACATAAAACTGTATAGAAGTATAAAATCCCTACTCTTGAATTCTGCATATTCATTAGAAATATTAATTTCATGATAAAAGTCTTTGATAATGCTTTCATAATACCATGTTTAAGTACACTGAAATTAGTATTGATCTGAAATCTGTCACATGACTTGTGTAACTGGATCTTTTTAGAAACCATATCTGTTTTGAGCTAGAGTTTGCCAATGATCATTTGTTGCACATGCATCATTCATTCATTGCAGCTTCTTCAGTATAAAACACAAATCAATTGATCAAGATTTTACAATATATATATAACTTCCGCACTTCATACTAAATGTGCTTCGGTCAACACTTTTACACCCCAATCAAATTACAAAAAGAAGCATTCATTTCTTAATTAAGGACAGTTATCCGTCTGTTGTATGTCCTCACTCTTATCTTTAAAACTCTCTCTTTGCATGCATAAATCTAAAACTTTCGCAATAATTATATGGTTATAAATGGTCTGACAATTTCCTTATATATATTTTGATCTTTAAATGAAATAAGTGCAGTCTTTTTCTCTGATTATTTTTTCAATTCATTGTGCGATTAACAGTTTGAACACCATTGCTACCAAGCCATCTTACTGAAAAAATATTGCAAACAGTTAGTGGCAATCTAAACGTTATTTGTAATTACAGCATATTTTAACTGATATTCACCCATTACAATGCTAAAACAATTTGTTTTTTTTAATTATTCTTTATCAGTTATTGATTGAATGTAAAAAGTAAAATAACAAAAATACCGAACTCAAAGGGAAATTCAAAACGGAAAGTCCTTTATGAAATGGCAAAATTAAAAGCTCTAACACATCAAACGTATGGAAAACAACTGTCATATTCCTGACTTGGTACAGGCATTTCCTTATGTAGAAAATGGTGAATTAAACCTGGTTGTATAGCCATCTAAACCTCTAACTTGTATCACAGTCGCATTGAATTCCATTATATTGAAAACAATGTATGAGCAAAACAAACAGTAACTCAGTGAAGCAGAAAAGTTATGTACACTTGTACGACTTTGACCCCAGCAGAGCTATAGAAAAACAGTACATTAACGGGTGTTACACGGACACTTTTTAGATGATACACGGACACTTTTTAGTTGTTACACGGACACTTTTTATGAATAGAATCACTCGTGCATGATCAGTGAGTTCATGGGCACTTTAAATTTCAATTAGATTTGAATTGTTTTGTTTCACCGACATATTTCCTGTCTTTTTAATTGAAATATTTACGTTAGCATCAATAACTATATTTGTTTTCAAACAATTCCAGTAACTATTCATATTAGTACACTAAGGGATTGACCATTTAACTTCAAAAGGTGGGTTATGGTTTTTTCCTAAAAAAAAACCATTTTGATCCCCAAATTTATGAGAAAAAATATATAATATATTATATAGTTGAAAAACTAAATAATTTCTTACTCAGAAAAGAACACACCCCCTTTTGAAGCTAAATGGTCGGTCCGTAAATGTGTTTTTTTTTTCTTCAATAAATGGACATGAATAGTATTCTGGACAATGCTGAAAGAAATACTGGTACCAACGTTTATATTCAATAAAAAAGACAGGAAATATATATAAAAAAATCAAATTTAATCAAAAAATAAAATCCCTATCAACTCACCAATGCACGATTGATCCTATAAATAAAAAGTGTCCGTGTAATACATGTTCAAAAAGGCAGCAAATCTTGAAGAAAATCATTCAACTTATGTCATCAATTTTGGACGGTAAGCTCTGATTGGATCATATAATGACACGTGTTTAATCCTCATCAACACTATCAGAGACATATAAAAACCTATAAGCATGAACATTAGTTTTAATCCAAAAAATATGCCTATATATATCTAATAACAAGACATAACATTTCATTCACTAATGAGATAGGAAATTCATTCTTTTGATACACTTATATAGTTATTGAATTCATATATATTGAATTCATATATATTGAATTCATATATTTGGCGGCAAACGTACGATTTTTACGAATTTTAGGGGGGGGGAATTTATCTTAACTCCCCCTTTTCCCCCAATAAAAATCAAATGGTAGCTTGCTTACCTCTGAAATCTTTTTTTATACATTACTTACTTGCGAAGTTGCATTTCAAAAAGTCTCAAATGTGTATAACATTCACCTTTAACTTGAAATGGTTCTTTTTTATAAAGTTATTAGATTCTTGAATTTTTTGAGAAAAAAACTCTCGGCTGAAGGGAAGTGAGAAAACAAATTGAGTTTAAACTGTAACTTACATTAACTGGTATATGGCCATTTAAGTTTCTAATATCTTTAGTTTTGCTACCTCTTCTAAATGTAAAATGTACTTCTCCCTTCTTGAAACGTCGTACAAGTCAGATACAAAACAAAGGTAACAAAAAAAAAACAGGCCGGAAACAACCTGCCGTATAGTTTGTCTGCACTTGTAGTCAGGTCAAGGTCCTCGGCTATCGCCTCGGACCTTAAACTGACTACTCGTGCAGAAAAACTATCCGGCAACGGTTGTTACCGGCCTGTTTCTTTGTTACCTTTGTATTGTATCTAATACTTAATACATAATAATAATGATTACATTGTGTAGAACTCTTGTTTAACATGTCGTTAGAAATGCCATTTGAATGTGTGGTGTTAGTCATTCTGCATCAGAACTTGAAGAAAAAACTTATAAGATATATGTGTAAAGAAAACTTGAAACTGAGCAATACGAACCCAACCAAAAAATGGGGTTGATCTCTGAAACTCCGGAAGAGTACGCAGATCCTACTCTATATGTGGCACTCGCTGTGTTGCTCATGTAAGCACAAACCCGGAGATAAGTATAATTCGGAAAGTCACATTCGGGGAAAAGGGGATGGGATTGAAGTTACGACAATTGAAATATATTCGTCGTCAACTGTGAAACAGATATTCCATAATGGTCAACCAACTCGTGATGGCGTCCGTAAAAGTTACGAAGGGATGACTAGTTTGTATGCACCCTTTTTCATCATCCTGGATCCGCATATGTGCATAGCTGGTCAGTCTGCAACATGTCGAAATAAACACTCGGTCAACGTTCTATGAAGATGTGATTGTTTAAAAGAGTAAAACAGTTTTGAAGTGCATAAATTATTAAGTGAAAGTTTGTATTTTATAAACACTGCCTTTGTCATATTGGCAGCGAAACGTGAAAAAATATTAGCCCCCTTTTTAAGAAAAATTGCAGTTTTATCTAGATTCATTCTCAATCTTCAAAGAAATCAAAATCGGCGGACCTCGGCAGTTAAAAGTAAATTAACAAAAATAGCGAACTCCAAGGAAAATTCAAAACGAAAAGTCCTTTATAAAATGCAAAATCAAAAGCTCAAACACATCTAACATATCTAACGAATGACAAACAACTGTCATATTCTTGACTTGTTACAACCATTTCTTTATGTAAAAAATGGTGGATAAAACCTGGTTTTATAGCTAGCTGCGGTGTGATGTAATTTGTTAATTTTATATCCATTTTAGATAAAATATTGCAAACTGTGAGCAATATATGTCTAAATCGTTCTAGAACGTTTTATTTCTTCCAATAAACAATTCAAATCTTTTATCTTTGAACGCAAATCTACTTGATCTGTTCTTATGTTAGTCGAACCACGCAATCCAAAATATTTTCTCAAATAGAAAGATTAGTGAAGATTAATTTTATTTTCGCTTCGCTTTATTTTATTCAGATGACCAAACACAGAGCCTGTCATTGTGGCTGTATCATTATCTATGTCAAAACATTGTGGGATATGAGGATTATGTCAAAACGATTAGAATGATGAATAATGCAAGGGATAATTTAGATCTTATCGATGGATATGTATGTATCACAAGTGGTAGTTTTGGAGAAGGCCTCGAATTAGAAGGTAGTGATATAGATATAATGCAGGTAATGAAGGAAATCAAAGTATATGAACACAGGCCAACAGCGGTTCAGAAAAATGATAAGGCATACTTTTCTATCGACATGGAGGGCACAAAACCGGGATTTGCTTATTTATTGTTTGAGTATACTCGTGCTGTGAACGTTTTGCCAATGTGTATAAACGTTCGAGGGAAGTTATGTCTTTCAAATGTCCTGTTTAAACAGATGTTCCGAAATACATGTTTTACTGTCGATCACGGTCCATGTTTATCAGATAAAGAAGGTCTTTATGATTTGTGTTTTTGTCTGCATAGTAAATCATGGATTTCTGCAGCAAATCAGTGGATTACAAGACCTAATAATTCATGGCCAAGTGATGAAGTTAAGCAAAGTATCATAGATCACGGGGTCCTGTTTGTGCCGATCGGTATGAAAGGATCTGAAAATGAAGAAGTAGAATGGTGTTTGTCTTACTCTGTCGGAGAAAAACTTCTTATTTATGCATTCAGTCATACTCAACTACTTTGTTATGCCCTATTGAAAATTCTTTTGAAAGATGTCATCAATATTGACATGCGATGTAAAGGTTTACTCTGCTCATATTTCCTTAAAACAATTGTATTCTGGGTTTCAGAAGAGTTACAACCATCAGTATGGACACAAGAAAACTTACTACCCTGTTTTATGGGATGTTTCAGGAGGCTGCTTTATTGTGTAGAATACTCAGTTTGTCCGCATTATTTTATTCCGGAATATAATTTATTTGAGAATAAGATTAGGGGAAATGAACGACAACTATTGTTAAACAATTTATATGCATTACACAGTAACGATTGGAGATGTATTTTGTTTTCTCCTCAGATCACTCAATTTGGCCGTTCGCCGAATCTCAATTTTCCTATTACACCATTCATTTGTAGTTTTCAAAAGGTTGTAAGTTCCAAAAATCTGTTAATTTTAAAAAATATGCATCTTCTTAAAGGAAACACCAGAAAACGCTATGTTCGGACAATTCATAATTTGCTTTTTCTGCAATCTTCAAAAATAAAGTCCATACACCTACACTTTATGTCAGTTGTATGTGAAAATATGCCACAAGCTATACCACTGATTAAACGAGATGGTAACAAATACCAATATAAACAATACAACACCTGGCTAAGTTACTTACTACAGAATACACATCAAGATTCTGTGTCTAAATGGTTGATGTTGGCTTCTTTCTTCTATAGAACACAACAATATAACAAAGCCCTATACTTGACGCTATATTCGTTGTCAAAGTGTACTTTGGAAAAATTGTGCCATGGTAAAGATTTATCAGACATTCATTTTGAAGTGTTGAGTTTAGAAACAATCAGAAAGAAAGGAATAACAAATTTAATGAAACTGCTAAGAGTAAAATCTTGCGTTTTTGTAGGGAATTCTCTTATTCCTACAGAGCTACAAATGGATGTATACAAAGATTTTTTGTTTTGTAATGTCATACCAGCAGTCGTGTGTGCAAATTTCTTACGCGTGTTATGTCATTACCATCTCAACAATATTAGACAATGTCGAAAAGCTGTCAGCGATTTAGGTCTTACAATAGCTGAAGAACATTTCATTCCGAATATAATTGCTGAAAAATCTTACTCCTACGACTGTTTTGGTGTAGCTTTGCAGTTGATTTGTGAAACTGAAAAGGCCAAACAAGCCTTTCTACGGTCAATTGAACTCGTACCTGAGCGAGAGCTCAATGTGGCATACCAGAGATTGTATGAAATTGTAAAAGATGATGGTCCGGTACTAGTGTTAAAACGGCCCAATTTGCAATATATTTTCGAAGATTAACATTCTATTATTTTATGTTTATGGCTACTCTAATGATGAGTAAACAAAAGTATGTATGTAAGGAATAGTCATTTAATGCTGCTGTTGTTCTATAATATATAATTGAAGTAGAGTGCTTTTGTATAAAATGGAGATAAACCTTTGATCTTATGTGCTTTACAATCACAATTCAAATTGACCATATAGGTGTTCAGTCATAGAATTGCCTCTGCAAAATATCTTTTTACAACTATCTGTTCATGCAAGATATTTTCACTGAACACGAGTCCTGCCCACCAAAATTTAAAAACTCGTTCATCATATTTTGTTTGAAATTTTAAAAGTAGCCCTACTCTGACAAAAAATAGTGTTTTTGGTGTCATTGTTTACTTAAACTAACTAACAAATTTGCAGAAATGAAAATTTTGGTGAAAGAGAAATATATTTTGACCATTTTGAGCCCAAATTTACTTGTCTATTAGTTTGCATTAAAAATATAGGATTAATGCGCTCCATAGTATACTAATTTAAGATTTCCAGAAAACCAAGGGTTAACTTTAGTAGTACTTGGCTTCCGAAGGGCAGTTCTTTCTTATAAGACTTTAAAAATGGGTTGAAAATTGGCATGAACAAAGTTGATACATGTACACTTTAGGATATACCTGGTTTCTATGAAGTTAAACTTAAGGTAAAGTATATAGAAAGCTGTGGAAATTGCAAAATTTGGTTGAATAGATAGGGATTTTTAATTGGTGGTCTGACACCTTTAAATATTTACATTTCTGGTTTGAGCTAAGGCATCAACGATACGACAAAACAACGAACCATTACTATTGGAGAGTTAAAATGAGTCTTAATAATCTTTCTGCTATATTTAATCAACTTATTTTCAAATGTCATGTTCATACTAAAATTGGATGTTCGATAAAAGTGGCTGATGGACAACAAGTTGACGCTGGCTCATTTTAATAAAACATTTGTGGGTAACTTTATTTGGTTCATTTATTCATTTCATTCATATTAGTATTTTTATTGTTTTCTCAGAAAGATTGATTATCATATTTTTATTACTTTCAGAGTGTTTCATTCATTAAATTATAGTGACGTAACGAGCCTCGAATTAGCATTCAACATATTTTTCCCTTCTCAATCAATCAGAGCGCTCAATTAAGTTCCAGGGGATTGCAGTGATTGTCTTCTGGAAATTATTTCCAGCTCAGATTCTCAGATGTGTAGACGTATAGACGTATAGGTATATGGAAAGCCAACGGGGTCAAAATTCTAAATTCGTAATTGTCAATTTATTTGAAGAAATTGAAAAAAATCATTACCTCGATAAAATAGTCTATTAGGCAACTTCTTTTTTCAAGAACATTTAAATTACTGTAAATTTAGAAATTATTGCGAGATTTTTATTAATGCGAATACTACAACTAGGTGAGTATCGCAATAATAAGAAATCGGATTTTGATACCTTATACGTATATATGTATGCAGATTTCCCTAAAATTGCAAGAATTAATCTCGAATTTCTGTCCATTTTTCAAAAATCGCAATAATACTTGTCACTGTGTAGTTTGTACATTTGTGATATGTATATTTGTAATTCTTGAATTCCTGATTAGTTAATTCAACATTTGTATATTGATCATTAGGTGCGCCGCTGTAGGACTTTCGGGTATAACTGTGCCGAATGTACTTGTCAAATCATACCCTGTTCTTTACAGAAAATATTGGCCCTGAAATGACAAAATTAATGTAAAACAATTCAAACGAGAAAACTATCGGCCTAATTTATGTACAAAATAATGAACGAAAAACAAATATGTTTCTAACCCCAAGATGAGATTAAGATGCATTAAATTTAGTATCTCTTAATTCAAGTAGTGTTAATACATTTGTATGCACCAATAATACCATCCTCATTATGTTTGTTCAGTATTCCATTTAAGATTTCCAGAAATCCTGATTTTTGCAATATTTTATGTTTTTTGTCCCAAAATGAGATTAAGATACATCAAATTTAGTATCTCTTAACTCAAGTAGTGTTAATACACTGTTATGCACTAAAAATATCATCCTCATTATGTTTGTTAAGTATTCCATTTAAGAATTCCAGTAATTCCGATTTTTTCAATATTTCATGTGTTTGCCCCAAATAACATCCATATTGGTCATCTAGTAAAGTTCGATTTGTTAGATAAGTTGTTATTCAATAAATGCATCTTTGTAATAACGTTCACTTCTTTCTTTTCTTCGTAAATTCCTCAGCATCGGTGCACCCGTGTCACACTATATTTTGCTTTCAATCTATTATTAAAGATTACAAGAAATCTTTAGGTTGTGTTATAATTTTTATTTTTGTTGCCCCAAAAAGAGAAGAAAATTGCTTCAATTATTTAAATAATGATATTTTCTCAGAAAATCATGTTTTTGCGACTAGAAAATTTTATAACAAAAAGTCTGAGACTGGGCCAAAAAATATCCCTTTATACTAGCCCTACTCCTTTCCGAATTATTGATTCTGCTGTTTTTTGTTTTGTTTTGTTTACTTTTTAATGTAGGGGCTACTCGTTTATTATTAATGCTTTTTAGAGTCGAAGTTGAAAACCGGTATGATAATTTAAACAGTTGCAATTTGCTCAGTTGCTTTGTATATGATCTGACATATTAAAGGCCACGTGTCTAATGTCTTGTTTTGCTTTTCATTAAAGTATTTCTCATGTATGCTTTGTTATATAAAGTGGATACACGTCAACGAGTTAGAATCCAAATACAAAAATTAAAACAAGAGTGCACACGCTGAAATGTCTCGCCTGATGTACTCATGATTGAATTAGTGTTCAAATATAAAAAAGAAGATATGTATGATTGCCAATGAGACAACTCTTCACAAGATACCAAATGACACAGAAATTAACAACTATAGGTCACCGTACGGCCTTCAATAATGAGCAAAGCCCATACCGCATAGTCAGCTATAAAAGGCCCCGAAATGACAAATGTAAAACAATTCAAACGAGAAAACTAACGTCCTAATTTATAAACAAAAACATGAATGTGCATATGAATACAACAATAATATTAAGTTTGCTTTTAATTTACTGACAACAAAATCAATATTAATACCAATAAAAACAATATTCAAAGATCTAATTACAGTGTTGAACTGGTAACCTTATAGAATAAGTTTATTAAAAGGATCGATAAGTTTGCCAGGATCGTTTCTAAATTTCCGGGCACGGTAAACAACATCTCCGTAAAAATGAGGATGTGCTATCCCGTTTGAAATAAGTTTTCGACAGGTACAACCAAACTACAAAACCAAATCTTTATATCTATGGAAGAATTTAGTAAAGGTTTTAAGTAATTTGTGGTAACGAAATCCCTGACTTTAAATTTTACCAGTAAAAATAGATTACGTTCATTCAAATCCGAAACGTCACAACAGACACGGGCATAGCGAACGAGTTGTGATATATAAACATCGTAAGATGGTGCCAAAGGAACATCACCATCCAAAAAAGGAAAATTAACAATAGGGAACGAAAAATCGTCCCTTTTGTCGTAAATTTTAGTGTGGAGTTTCCCGTGTAAAACTGAAATATCTAAATCTAGGAAAGGACAGTTATTACCGTTTACATTTGATTTATTTAAAGTAAGTTCCTTTGGGTAAATTTCGGCAGTATATTTAGAAAATTCTTGATTATTTAACGAAAAAATATCATCAAGATAACGGTAAGTGTTGTTGAATTTATCAATTAAATGCAATTTAGACGGGTCTTTACTGAGTTTGGTCATAAACTGTGATTCATAACAGTACAAAAACAAGTCTGCTATTAAAGGGGCACAATTAGTGCCCATTGGAATACTTACAACCTGCGATAAACTTTGTTTGCGAAACGTACATAATATTATCAAGGAGAAAATTAACAGCTTCAATCATCTCATCACACCTCCAGTAAGTATATTTAGCATATTTACCTTTCTCATTAGAGAAGAAGGCTTTAAATCAGTTGCAGCAAATATATTTGCATTCAGATTTACCAAATGACCATTGAATTAAATAGGAGAACTATTGTTTGATCAGATTGTGTTGAAGTGTAGTGTAAAGAGTTGAAAAGTCAAAACTGTCAACAGAATCAAAAGGACCATCAAAAGCACGTAATTTTTCTTAAACATCCAAAGATTTTTTTACACTCCAAAAATAGTTAATTCCACTATTTTCATCTATTTTATTACAAAAGTTAATGATAAGTTCTTTGATAGTAGTTAAGGAACTAGTTAAAAGCACTGAAAGATTAGTTGTAGAACACTTACTAGAGGCCGAGATGAAACGATAGTTTACTGGTTTTTTGTGTAGTTTAGGTAACCAATTCATAGTAGGGACCTTCAAATGTTCAGAAGATGCCTTAAGCTGTGATGTGGTTATGATATGTTTGTTTACTATATGACTCTCTGTGGAGCGTACGGACTTGAACGTATGAATTTAAAACTTCATTCTTAAGAACGTCCGTGTAGTATTTACGGCATACTACCACCACATTGTTGGCTGCTTTGTTCGCCGGTACAAACACAAACCGCTTTGAAAATTCTTGGTTTATTTCTTATTCTAGAAATAGGCGTTTTATGTACTCTTTTATTTATTTCTGAATTATTTTCAAAATGTGATATTCGAATATCCACAACATTCATACATTTATTTAATAAGAATCAAGAGATGTTTTATCAGATTTTTCCCGTTTACACCAATTTTTACAATACGAGGAAAGAGCGTCTGTTGTGACCTGACGACACTGTTTCCAATCTATTTTAGATGGAGGACGATGTTTTGGTCCTTTTTTCAAAACGTTTTTAACCTCTCTGTCTTGGACGATATTGAGGTCCCCGTATTAACATGGCCATATGGATCATATCTAAACTTCGACGATTCACAGTTTCAAGTTAGACGAGTATTATTTTCTACATTGACGTCTGGTGTTACTGACGTATAATTAAAACTTAAACTTCTGCTGGTTTTTTTGTATGTGTACGAAATAATGGGTGGTTCTGTGTTATCAAAATAGGGAGGTGTAAAGTTTTGAACGTAAGAGTCATTAAATATACTCGATAAGTTGATAAAATCAATACCTCTGTTAATATATTTAATTTTCAGAAAGTGCCGTTTATGATCTTTAGGTTTATCGATGCACGGGAACAGCCTATGGTGGCAAAAAGTCTGTAATATGAAGGTTTTACTACAAGTATCACATGAACTTAACATTATCAATGATCCATGAAAATAAATTCACAGTCAGATGAACCATGCCAGACACCAAGTATAATGGTGCTATCGCTTATAGGATATAGTACCTGAGAAACAGATCAAACCACAAAATCTTAAAATTGACCAATAAACCATGAAAATGTGGTCAACGTAATATGAACCCTGCCAAACAGACATTTAACCCTTACAATCATATAGTTGACCTATTGTATATAGTATCTGAGAAAAAAACCAAACCACATAAACAAAATATTGTTCAATGAACCATGAAAATGAGGTCAAGGTCAGACGAAACTTGACAGTCGGACATGTACAACTTACAATTATTCCATACACAAAATATAGTGGCCCTGTTGCTTATAGTATCTTAGAAATAGACCAAACCACAAAAAAAGCATTGTCCAATGAACCGAGAAATTGGAGTCAAGGTTAGATGAAACCTGCCAGTCGGACATGTACACCTTTCAGTCATGCCATACACCAAATATAGTTGACCTACTGCTTATAGTATCTGAGATACGGACGACCACGTAACTCTAACCTTGTTCACTGATCCATGAAATGAGGTCAATGTCATGTCAACCCTACCTATTTAATGTTTACTTATTTAGTGTTATATCGCGTCTCACTATTTTTAATATATACCACCTTTGATAAGTGTTTTGTATGACGATAAATTTTCACTTCTGTTCTCGTACTATGAACAACAAAACTATTTATTTTGTAAAAAATATTTCCGTACTCCCTGTATACCTTACAACAAAATTATTTGTATTTACCTGTGTACTTTATTTTATTTGGCTGCATTTTGTCCAAGGTTATGGTTTTCTTTCTGATATTGTTTTACATCTATTAGTAACCCCCTTGTTTTATTGATTTTGTATTTACATTGTGTTATAGATCAAATTTATTCATTCAGTGTATGTTCACTTGTTTTTGTTATTATGTCTTTTGTTTGAGTTAAGCCATTTCAATTGATATTTTATAGTGTGTCTTTCTATGTTGTGATGTTACACTATTGTTTTAGGTTAGGGTGAAGGTTGGCGCATATTAAAACGTTTAAACCCGCTGCATTTGTTTGCACCTGTCCTAAGTCAGGAACCTGATGTTCAGTGGTTGTCGTTTGTTGATGTGGTTCTTAAGTGTTTCTCGTTTCTCGTTTTTATATAGATTAGACTGTTGGTTTTCCTGTTTGAATGGTTTTACACTAGTTATTTTTGGGCCCTTTATAGCTTGCTGTTCGGTGTGAGCCAAGGCTCCGTGTTGAAGCCGTACTTTGACCTATAACGGTTTACTTTTACAAATTGTGACTTGGATGGAGAGTTGTCTCATTGGCACTCATACCACATCTTCTTATATCTTTGTAGACCTTAGTTATCCTATTACCCATAATGAGAGAGTATTTAGTTTTTAAAAAAGCAGTAATTCTTTTGCAATCAGTCACTGAATCAGGGGAATTAGGTCAAGGACAATGGACACATGACAGACGGAAACTTCGTAACAAAAGGTATCTGCATACAAGGTATGAAGCCTCCAGGTTTCTAGCATTTTAATTATAAATATTTATACAAATAGTTTACGCCGTCGCCATCGCCGCCTCCGGGTTGTAATCCTTAGGTCTTGCATACTGCGACTTTCGTCGCCGGCGAAACAAAAGCAATGTACAGTTATTTTCAGTTTCTTTGTAAAAATCATTCAAGTGTTATACAACATGGGTACGACACCTATATGTTAAAATAGAATTTTGGAAAATGACTCTGCCTCGCCTTCACCAAAACTGGCTAGAAAGCATTTAAGTTTAAACGAAAAGTTAAATTTGATAGAAAACTCCGATAAAATTCCAAAATTAACCCCAAAACAACTTGGCGAGAAGTATGGGATCGGACGTGCAACAGTGTCGGAAATTTGTTGTAAAATATTATTGTGGTATAAGTGTTATATCAATAAATGTATTTATCCTATAACCGTGCTTTTACATAATTTAAACCGTCATACATGTACATTGATGACACACACAGAGTTATTTCCCGTGATACTTCTGTTGTTCAAAAGTGAAACCTGTGTATTCCGACACAATGTAAAATCCGACACATTACTCTGGTCCCTTGGTGTGTCGGATTAGACAGGTTGCACCGTATAACAAACTGATAAAAAAATTACTTTAGTAAAGGGAACACGTCGAGTCAAATGTTTTATGTTATTGCAAGAATAAAAGTAGAATATCAAAAATACTGTACTCAGAGGAAAATTCAAAACGGAAAGTCCCCTTAACAAATGAAAGAGACTTAGATCTTTGAAACTTTTAAGAATCCATATATGAATTACACCATGCCTAGAGTATGTAGTTTCGCAATAAGTCTATTATGATATATTATTATTGATAAAATTGATGTAATCTGTTTGGAAAGAGGGTTTGTTGTGTGCTTGGAAGACCCAGCAATTTAACGTTGTTTTTAAAA